TTTCTCTTTAAGATGGTGCTGAGGATTCCCCCGAGGGGGCTTGTTAAAACAATTATTAAAAAGGGAGATGATCAAAAACGTTAGGGAGAAACATGTTTTTGCCAAACTAAGCTAGTGGGCCATCTTGCCTGCAGTTGTGTTGAGCATTTGACTGGTGACCTGCTGCTCTTCTTCCACAAACACTGGAGCTCTGGGCGTTTGTCTTGTTGCCTCCTGCTGCAGCCTGTGAGGACTAATCAGCTGTCTGGCTGCAGTAATGAAGAATCAGTGACACACTGCTTTTATCAGAGGATTTATGAAGCTGTAGTGGATCAGGCACAGATTCCTGCCCAATCTAGGACTTAACATGAGCCTTACAGAGCAAGTCAGAGCCTTGTAGAGCACTTTTAAATGAAACAGTAGAAGCCATATCGCCCCCTACACTTCCTGTAGTGTATTACAGTCTGTCAGAGTGACTGTGTGGATCATATGAACATTATAGAGCTTTTTAAATGAAACAGTAGAAGCCATATCACCCCCTACGCTTCCTGTAGTGTATTACAGTCTGTCAGAATGACTGTGTGGATCATATGAACATTATAGAGGCTTTTTAAATGAAACAGTAGAAGCCATATCACCCCCTACACTTCCTGTAGTGTATTACAGTCTGTCAGAGTGACTGTGTGGATCATATGAACATTATAGAGCTTTTTAAATGAAACAGTAGAAGCCATATCGCCCCCTATGCTTCCTGTAGTGTATTACAGTCTGTCAGAGTGACTGTGTGGATCATATGAACATTATAGAGCTTTTTAAATGAAACAGTAGAAGCCATATCGCCCCCTACACTTCCTGTAGTGTATTACAGTCTGTCAGAGTGACTGTGTGGATCATATGAACATTATAGAGTGCCTTTGTCTTTGACTGAACTCTCCACAGCCCCCCTGGTCTCCTCCTCCTCCTCTCCTCCCATGGTGCAGGGCATTCCACCAGGCCGCTCCAAACCGCAGTTAAGCAGCTCCAGCTGCAGAGCGTGACGGCATGCAGAGCCGCCCTGAGCCCAAAACCTCTCTGCTTCTTCTTAACAGAGCAGAATAAGAAATCATTAACAGATTTCAGAGAGGGAGGCTCTGAACTGAGCGCACGAAAAAATAACGAATAAACTCCTCCTAAGCACCGACTGGACCTACCGACCTCATGAACTCAGAACCTTTGGATACGTTACTGTGGAAAAAGTCAAAAGTCATCTGAGAAAATGATCTGTAAAGCTGTTTATTTATTAACATAAGAATAAACACACTTAAAATTGGGTTAAATCTGTTTATTCAGTCCTCCATTACGTTAAAGTGAAGCAGAAAGATTTAGATTTATCATGAGTTTATTTTTTTAATTAAAAAACTTTAATCAAAAACTGCTGACTTCACTACCAAAACAGAGTTTTATTCTTTGGGCGGAGCCTTATTGTAGCCACACCCCTGCAATCTAGAGCAGGAAGTGAGGCTGCATCCCTGTCCCTCATGGCCACATGGTGAGCAGTTAGATCTGTTTTTAAGGAAAAAGTCTGAAAATCAGTGTGGAACATTAAGAATTTTTGTGCTTTAATGAAAAATATGATTTTATGTGTGTACAGCTGTTCAAAGCTGAGTTTGTTGGTCATCCCATATGGGTATGTATGTATGTGTATATATATATATAGATAGATAGATAGATATCTAAGATAGATATATGTAAAATCAGATGTTACATATAGTTAATTTTGTTTATCTTTTACAAAAAAAACATTACTTTTATTATTTATTATTATTATGATTTTAATCACCTGTTATTGTTGGTTTCCAGTGTTATTTCCACAGGTCAGAGCAGCTGTTTACGTCAGAACCTGTTTACTGCTACAGACACTGTGGTGTGTTTTTCTCATAAACTGCTCATTACAGAACTTAATGAGAAGAAAATCGAGTCGTGTAAATCAACATCGAGACAGCATCAGTTATTGTGACACCCACCCGAACCGAGTGAAACCCACCCAACCTCAGAGGCGTCTTCTCACCAGTTTCCTTACACAATAGAGACAGTAATGCGTGCTGTGTACATACTAATGTCTCTCTCTCTCTGTCTCTCTCTCTCTGTCTCTCTCTGTCTCTCTCTCTCTGTCTGTTGTGTTATAAAATGTTCTTTTTTCACCTTTTTTCTCCAAAATATTTACTCACTAGCACCACCGTGAACAATTCTGACTGGGTAAGTTTGCACTCTGAATGACTCTGTTTACGTCTGAACCACTTAATTATGGAGAATTTTTGAAAAATGTAATCATATATCAGCTCGTTTGTGATGAACAGCAGCTTAATGCTCAGAGACGAAACTAGAACAACCACAAACACAGCAGAACTTATTTTTGGTAGTTGTTGAAATCCTGGTCAGATGAACGGTTTCAGCTCCTCTTCAGCACAGCTGACTAAACTGATTTAACTCAAAGAAGGTTTGTTTAAACTGAATAAACTGAAATCAGTGTAGATACATGATGATGTAGAAAACATGCATTATGAACTGTTTCAAGGCCTCTCATTCCTACAAACCCCCTGAAAGGACGTGGTGTATTTTTTTTTTTAGATAAAAATCTGGTGCTCACCTGATAGTATCAGGTGCTCAACAGTACCTGGTACCAACCTCAAAGTATGTGGTGCTCAGCTGACAGTATCTGGTGCTTACCTGAAAGTATGGGGTACTCACTCGATAGTATCTGGTGCCCACCTGAACGTATCTGGTGGCCACCTGAAGGCATATGGTGTTTATCTGAAAGTATCTGATGCTCACCTGGAAGTATTTGTTGCTCAGCTAATAGTATCTGGTGCTTATCATAGAATCTGGTGGATACCTGAAGGTATCTGATGATCACCTGAAGGTATCTGGTGCTCATCTGATAGTATTAGGTGCTCACTATATTATCCGGTGCCACCTCAAAGTATATGGTGCTCAGCTGACAGTATCCAGTGCTCACTTGATAGTATCTGGTGCCCAACTAAACATATCTGGTGCCCACCTGAAGGTATATGGTGTTCACCTGATAGTATCTGGTGCTCTCCTGAGAATATTTGGTGCTCACTAGATTTGTACCTTACACACACACACACACACAGTGAGCCACTCTGAGCCGTCAAAGTGGAAATGTTACCATCCCTTAATCACATGTGCTTTTATTATTTATTTAATTAATTAATTAAAATACAAAAAAGACACAAAGAACACAAAAGTTATTCCTGACGGACAGAAACAGCAAAGACAGTTAAAACACGGCGCTGCCTGTACAGAGAGACACAGCTGCACTCAGAGGGGGCGTCGCCGTTAATCGGCAGTGTGTCTCGTCTGTTCTTTGTTCGGTCTGTTCCCGTTTTTGGCTTTTTTTAGAAAAACTTGAATAGCATCAACAGTGAAGCAACATTAGAGAACAGACAGACAGACAGACAGACAGACAGACAGGAGACAGTGCTTCGTTATTAACTGTACCGGTAGAATTTACTGACAAAAACACAAAAAGGCCTGTTTTCTGTCTGTTTTAAACATCAGTGGAATAAAACACGGTTTACGCTTCGTCTCTTTGTGCTCGTTATGATTACCAATGTTTGCATCAGCGAGAGGAAACACTTCGTATGTAACCAGAGGAGAGCGGCTGGATCCAATCCGACGGAAAATGCTCCTTCAGAGAGGGCCTGGAAAACAGCACTGAGGGAAAATATCATAATAATAACGTCCCCGTGTCCTCCGGGAGAAGCGGCAGCGACCAAAACCAGCCCAAATATTCACCATCAAAACGTCAGACATCAACAAGGCTGCAATGTTCCAACACAGAAATATGTTTATGTTAAAGAGAAGTGCCACCAATTTTTCGAAAATTACTCCATAATTAAGTGGTTAAGATGTAAACAGAGTCGTTCAGAGCGGTTTGGTTTCTAGAGAAACTTACCGAGTCAGAACTGTTCACAGTGGTGGTGATAGGAACCAGACGTCCACCTCTAAAAGCTCCCTCACAGAAAGTTCCTACATGAAATGGTTATGAATTCACTGCCTGATGACTGAGACACTGTTTTATGATAGTTTAGAGAACTTAAACTCCATTCATGGTGGAGGGATACATGCAGGGCGCTGTGAGGCAAAATAGTCCCCAAAGAAAGTTCTTTGCAACCATTTCATGCCAAATCACTCTGAATGACTCACACACTGAAAATTGTGCAGAAATTTTGCAAATTTGGTGGAGTTCCCCTTTAAGTCTTGAGCAGAGGGTCCGTTCTTTGTGGTTGAGATGGTCCAGCAGTTGGAAAGCAGGGTACAAGTTTAAAAAGGCACTTTTTTAGTACAAAAGCGAGATTTCAGTTCAGTCTTCTGTGTCCGACAGTGAGGAGTGCTGCGCTGTGTCCACTGTCTGTGAAAGGAACCGAAGGACGCGTCTCCACCAGGAACCTCTGAAGTTCTAAGAAGAGCTCCAGAACTTTCCATGATCACTAAAACAACAGATGTGACACAAACTGCACGGTTAACCTGTTTAATTACAGCAATGCAGTAAATATAGAGAACCTCTCTACTGCATTGCATTTGATGTTAAAGGGGAACTCCACCAATATTTCAAAATTCCCCTATAATTCAGTGTGTGATGTAAACACAGTGATTCAGAGTGGTTTGGTGTGAAATGGTTCAGATTTCTTTACAGTGGTGGTGACAGGGGTACAGTCACCATGACTACAACACAAATAAAAAATTGAAACAGACAATATAGAATCTGTAGTTATACATATAAAAATGCTATAATAATAATAATAGTAATAATAGTAATAATAATAATAATAAAATGTGTTCTGAGTGTCTATATGGAATGTTGATTATGGTAAACGGTAGTGGAAAATCTGAAAAAATAAACATTTAACACCAAACTGTTCTGAACACTGTTATTTACATCTTAACCACTTAATTATGCTGAAATTTGTAAAAATTGGTGGAATTCCCCTTCAATATCGATACTGCAGAATACTAATGAGGATGAGGATGTTGATATTCCAGAATCGCTCCTAATGGTCGGTCCACTTTTCCATTTTAATCACTGGTTATCCTTCTCATTTTGCTTTGGTGGTATCCGTGACGTGTTTTATTAAAATGCTAAATAGGAGTGTTCTGTAAACCTCGCGTTTGACCAATCAGAGACGTTCCTGATCCGCAGAAAAGCTCATATTCCGGGGTAGAAACCAACAGCTGTGCATCGTCTGGTGGAAACACTAATAGTCTTATTCCCATTCCAGCAAACACAAGTGTTAAAATGAGCAACGAGGCGCTTGTAGCAAATGCAGGCCTCTAGAGGGCGCTAGTGTAGAAAATGCTCCCTTGTTTGGTGAACACCTAAAAGTTCCTGCGGTGGAAACGCGCCTTCAGAGAGCCGCCCGGCATTCAGACGACCGATACGCCCTGGGCGGGGGCGGTGAGGGCTTTGGCCACGTCGTGCCGCTCGACGCGGGCGAGGGCGGAGCACAGCAGGCCCAGCGTGGAGCCGTCCTGCTGAGACCAGTCCGTCAGCAGCGTGCGGACGGGGTCCTCTCCGCGCCCAAAAACGTCCAGGCGCTCCTGCTCGTAGCCCAAGGCTCCACCCAGCTGCCTCCAGCTCCGCCCACTTCCCTCCTCCAGCAGCCGCTCCACCTCCTCCTGCCGGTGTGGGGGGAGGTTTATATACAGCCGGGTGTCCTGCTTGCTGTCCCGCTTACTGCCTGCAGGGGGAGACGGAACGCAGTTAGCCGGGTGCTTTATAGAAAACAGTGGGTGCAAACCATTCTACAAAAGACACAACAGCACAGGAAGCCCCACCACCTCTTCCAGCAGCTGAGGCTGCATACCGAGCGAATCTGACCCGTCAGCCTGATTTTAACGCATCCATACAGCGCAGAAACTACAGAAGCCCTGCAGTCCATCAGTTTTGGACTTGGTGTGCAAGACGGCATTAATACCTGTGTGTTTGTTGCCAAACTTGGCGAGTTTTTTAATCCGCCCTTAATTCGCAGAGTCAAAAGTCAAAAGGTCTGTATTTCCATCTAGTGTTTGAACGATGAACTGCAGGGTCCTGTGACGGAGGAGCCTCACCTAGAGCAGGAGCGATCCTTAAATATGGCACATATGTTTTATGTCACTGATCAGCTCTCAGGATCTGGTTATTTTAGGGGTACCTGCTGCACCATTTAAGGTGGAACTGAAAAATTCAAACAAGAGGCTGGCGAAAAAGAAGCTGAGTTCAGCTTCAAGAGTTTAAAGGCATGAAAAGGGATGAGGAGGCTGCTCTGTTTCTGCATGTGGGCAACACCAACTTATTTTTGCTGTTTCAAAGAATCAGCAGGTCAGTATTGTTTTGTCTCGTTTGCTAATGTTTGTGGCTCAGCAGCAGCAACTGTAGTGACCGTTTGCTAAGCCACAGCCTCGCTAATGTTAGCTACATGACTTGCTGTGTGGCTGTTCGCTCTAACGTTATATCCCAGTATTTGTCTGTACAGCGTTTGTGTTTTATGGTCACGAAGATTTTAAAAAGTGTCGTTCACTTTGATGCGTGTCGATGAATTTGGGGGCAGAGCTTCTGAAGGAGCACTGAAGGGAGGGGTGTGTTTGTTTTAAGGTTGGGAATCACGTCTGCACCTTTAAATGTGGCATCCAGCCCTGCCTTCCGTCGGCATCGGCTATCAGCCCTGATCGGTCCATCTCTAGTTCCGTGTTCTCTCACCTTTGCTGGGCTGGCCGTCCTGCAGGCTGTGCGAGTCGAGGAAAACGCCGCTGTCGCTGTGCAGCTTCTCTCCCTCAGCGACGTTGTTCAGCTCTCCAGCGCGAGCTTTTCCCAGAGCTTTCTTCTGCTGAAAGGACTTCCAGCTAATAACATGCAAACACACGTATATATATACGTTTATATTAGTTCACCACTCACTGAGGCTTTACAGTCATTTACAGGCATTTGCTGTGAATTATTTTAAATTAGTTGTTTTATTTAATTATTAATTGTTTATTTTATTTAATTACTATTTTCTTTTTTTTGGGCCAGAAAAAATTAGTGTTTATATGCAAATAGTTCCATATTTTTGTTATGATTTTTACATATAGCTTGAGAATTTTTATTCTGTCCAAAAAAAGGAGTACGTACATCATTAAATATCACTATAACTGACCACCTGCAGGTCGAGGCAGTATAATAAAGCTCCCCTCACTCACCACTTGTAGGCGACATAGATCAGCAGTCCCAGCACCACAGCTGCCAGCACAGACACGTACAGCAGGATGTTGTTGCCCCCCTGATCCTGCGGGGTGAGTTCGGGGGCTTCGGAGCCGGAAGCCGCTCCGCTCCCCTTCACGCTGTCGTCGTCGGCCAATCCGGGCCAGCGTGGAAACGGCCCCTCGGAGCCCGCCGGCCGAGACATGATGTTCAGATCCCGCTCTGCAGGAACACAAGTGAACAGAAGATCAACCTCATGTTGCTTTTAAACCTTCTGTTTCCTCTGGCTGGACCAACTTCTGATGATACCAGAGCCTTGAAGGGGAAGTCCACAAGCTTTTTCAAAATTCTATACAAAATTCTATACAAGCATTCCGTTCCACCTTAAATGGTGCAGCAGTTACATTCTGGCACCTCAGCAATGCTGGAGAGTTCATTCTCTGCCAAAGGGGGAATCCCCCATCACTCAGTAGCGCATTCCTCACTGCACCAACCCTTTCCAGGCACGCAAAACACACATCACACGTTTCTGCTGCAGCCAGGTCGAATTTAAAGACTCATTCTGAGTTCATTTTTGACCCAAATGTGTAAACAGTGCTGTTCTTCTCTTTCTGCACTGCTGTACCGCTGTACATGTACATGTTAGAGCTGGAAATACAACATAAAATCCACCTGAAGCCCAACTACTGATCAGTGCAACAGTGGTTTCCTCTGTATACACTACACCCATATCTACGGTTACGCTACACCTACTTCCATGGTTGCCCTACATCGGTATCTATGATACACACTATACTGTTTCCAGGCTGTACTCTAAACCGATTACCATTGTTATGCCATGACTGTTACCATGGTTATGCCGGGGCTGCACCCATCTCCTTGGTTACATTACACCGATTTCTATGGTTATACTATAGTAATGAGTGTTGAGAAGATGAGCCAAAAAATACGGAAATATTATTTTAGAGGTTTAGAGGTTAACCTCTTACTAAGCCACGGGCCTGAAGACAGGCCAGAGTTTTATTACACACTTCTTTAACCTGAGATTAGTTTGCAGTGAAGTCTCTGAAGTTACTGAATAATAAGCCTCAGTATGTAATAAGCCTGGATTGCTATGGGGTTAATAATAATAATAATAACAAAAAACTATGGAGCAGAAAAAACAACAGCAGAGACCTGCTGAGAGGATAATCCATTCATCTTCTTGTGTGCCTGTGCGTTGAGGCAGTGGAGGTCGTGACCTTCTGACCAGCTGCTTAACCCCTAAACCTGAAAACCTGCTAAACGAGCCCCACAGGTCTTTAACAGGCTGTGAGTGTGAAGCTCGGAGCTAAAACCAGCCTCAAACAGGTCAACTCTGCAGTTTAATCACTCTGTTTCTGAGAGAAGCACTCAGAGCCGTTTACAGGCCACAGTAAACGCTGCACGGCTGATTTCTGAGTAAATATAAACACAGACGGCCGTAATGCGGCGTTACTGTACTGCAGGGATCAATGCAGTGAAGAGAGAAACTGAAATGCAGAATCACAGTGTAATTTTCCAACTGCTGCACATTTACAGCGCCGTGAACAGCTGTTCGCCACATGTTGGCCACATAACACTACACACACACACACACACACACACACACACATACACACACACACACACACACACACACACTCACGCACACACACACACAGAGGATAAAAGCTTCACAGTATTGAGACAGCCTGCGACCTGCATCAGTTAGGATTGAATATAATGGTTTCAAAAACGTTACTATTAACATAATGAACTGCAGAAAAACTTGTCAGTCAAACTAGTCATACTTGTTTTTAATGTAGCTTTTATTTAAAATGATAATGCACAGTAATTTTATCTGTTTTATCTTCTGTTATTGTATTTCATTACTTTTATGAAACTGCAGTATTGTGCGAACAGTGAGACATGGGGTTTTAAGTAGAAGCTAATCATTTTTTCAGGAGATATTTGGAAGCAGATTAGATATAAGATAATCCACTTGTATAAGGAAGGAGTTCAAAAACAGATTAAAAGCTCCAGAGAAAATGTGTCTCCTAACAACCACCTGGAAGAGCTGGTCGACCCCAAAACTGCCCCCATCAGATAAACAGCACTTAAAGCTTTCATCTCTGAGAGAGAGGAGAAAATCAAGCTGATCAGATCTGAAAACATCCACAGGTGTTTCTGTCCATCCTTCCACTGTGAGAAGACGACTCAGCGCTGTGGGTCTGAAAGGATGTGTAGCTGATCAAGAAGAACCTCACTGAGAAAAGGAGACGGACACATCAAACAAAGAAGCTGAACAATGGACTGACCACCCCAGAGTCCAGACCTCAACACCACTGAATGTGTTTGGGAATCCTAGGTGGTTGCTAAGGTGCTGCTATGATATCCCAGGTGGTTGCTAAGATGTTTGCCAGGCCATTATTATGGCATCCCAGGTACTTGCGCTTAGGCGTTGCTATGTTATTCCAGGTGTCGCTAGGCTGTTGCTATGGGATCCCAGGTGGTTGCTAAGGTATTGCTCGGGCAGTGGTATAACTTGGCTCACAAAAAGCAGAAAATGATCAACCAATTTCTAAGAACTTTGGAGGTGTGTCTGCAGATTCTTTGAGGAACTGAAAGCGAGTCTCCTGAAAAGAATGGAAGCTGGAATAAAGGTGAAGAGCGACTTACTGACTCACACAGCTGAGATTAGACGAGCTGTAATCTGTACCTACCCATGCAGAGTGTGTCTGAGTTGGGCTGGCAGGCTCGGATCTCCACCTCGTCATCTTTGCAGCGGGTGCAGGGTTGGCAGGGCTGGCTGGCGCTCTGCTGCTCTGAGAAGGTGCCCGGCAGGCACGGCTTGCACTCCGTGTTTCCCAGTGGTCCGCACATGCGGGTCACCTCCTCACCGCGTTGGCACACACTGCAGGGGGCGCAGCGGCCCACCGTGCTGTTCCCGTCCCTCCACAGGAAGAAACCCTCACCGCAATCGCACTGTGTGTCCTGGGTCACAGTGCAGCGCGCCAGCTGGGGGACGCCAGGCGGACAGTGGGCACACGCCAGGCAACCGGAGAGACCGGCGGAGTCTGAGAACGTCACACCTGGAAGAGAGAGAGTCATGCCATTCACAGCATGTTATATTTACATTAAGACTACGTCAACAATCTGAAAGGTCTACGAACTGTTTGCTTAAAATCACAAGTGCTCTATAATGTTCATATGATCCACACAGTCACTCTGACAGACTGTAATACACTACAGGAAGTGTAGGGGGCGATATGGCTTCTACTGTTTCATTTAAAAGCCTCTATAATGTTCACATGATCCACACAGTCACTCTGACAGACTGTAATACACTACAGGAAGTATAAATACAGACCCAGTATACATTTTAAAATTACTGCATAACTAAGTGGTTAAGATGTAAACAGAGTCGTTCAGAGCGGTTTGGTTTCTAGATAAACTTACCGAGTCAGAACTGTTCACAGTGGTGGTGATAGGAACCAGACGTCCACCTCTAAAAGCTCCCTCACAGAAAGTTCCTACATGAAATGGTTATGAATTCACTGCCTGATGACTGAGACACTGTTTTATGATAGTTTAGAGAACTTAAACTCCATTCATGGTGGAGGGATACATGCAGGGCGCTGAGGCAAAATAGTCCCCAAAGAAAACTTATTATTTCAGATTTTCCACTATTTTCCATCATCAATATTCCATATAAACTCAGAAGACTCGTGTAGGTTCACTGGTGGTTCTGGATAGTAAATAAAATGTCTATATCTGTGTTGTAGTCATGGCGACCCCTGGTTCCTATCACCACCACTGTAAAGACATCTGAACCATTTCACACCAAACCACTCTGATTACATCTCACACACTGAATTATGGGGAGTTGCCCTTTAAGGGGCTGGCGAGATGCTCGGTTCCATAGGGATTAATGTAAAGAGAACCCTACAGGGTTCTGTTTAATACTCACCGTCTTGGCACTCCTGGCACTTTGTGTTTTCTGCTCCACACTCAGATGCCACTCCGGTGCCCGGCAGGCACTCAGAGCAGCACTCACCATGGTGTGTGAAGCGCATGGTCACACACACGTCGCCCACCACCACCTAAACACACAAGACACAGAACACACACGGGTCACAACACACACACTGGATTTACTGTAACTATAAGAACAGAAAAAACTAGAAATGTGAGAGAGGAAGGAAGATAAGGAAGAAAGAGAGAGAAGGAGGAGAGAAAGAAAGAAAGAAAGAAGAGAAAGAAGGAAATGAGAAAGAAAGATAGAAAAGAGAGAATGAAAAAGAGGAGAAAAAAGGAAAAGAGGAGAAGAAAGACAGCAAGAAGGAAAGAAAGAAAGAAAGAAAGAAAGGAAAGTGGAGAGAGAACGAAAACAGAGAACAAAGGAAGAGATATAGAGAAAGAAAGAATAAAAAAAGTAAGTAAGAGAAAGAAAAGAGAAGAAAGAAAGGGAGAGATAGAAAGAAAGAAAGAACAAAACAGAGAAAAAAGAGAGAGAAGGAAGAAAGCAAGAAAGAAAGAAGAAAAGAAAGAAAGGAGAAGAGAGAAGGACAAGAGAGAAAAGAAAGGGCATGATATAAAGGAATAAAGAATAAAAAGGAGGAGAAAGAAGGAAGAGAGAAAAAAACAAGGAAGAAAGCAAGAAAGAAAATAAAGAAAGAAAGAAAGGGAGAGAGAAAGAAAAGAGAGAGAGGGGAGAAAAAAGAAAGAGAGATATAGAGGAAAAAGGAGGAGAGAAACATGAAGAAAAAGGAGAGAAGAGGCAAAAAAGAAAGAAAGAAAGGGAGAGAGAGAGAGAGAGAGAGAGAGAGAGAGTGAGAGCGTGTGAGGAAGGAAGTTTTCCAGTCTGGAACAGTGAGCGGGTGTGAATGTAAACGAGACAGAAAAACACACACACACACACACACGCACACACGCACACACGCACACACGCACACACACGCACACACACACACACACACACACACACACACACACACACGCACACACACACGCACACACGCACACTCTCTCTCTCTCTCTAAAACTGTGAAATAAATAAAGATGATAAAATAAATCACTGTTGTATAAAAAATTTCAGCTTCAGTTCAGCCAATCAGCTGTCAGAGCTGGAGCGATGAATCAGCTAAAGCACCATGTCATCTCAGCTGACCGATCAATACTGAGGACATCATCTCTGATCACTCTGATCACTATAATCACTCTGATCACATGGAGGAAAAGCTATATGTATATATATATATATATATATACACACATACGTGTCAATCAAATGCGTTAACCCGCCCCCTAAGCAGCGGGTTAAAATATTACATAACAATGCAATAAAATATAAAAGGTGCCATAACTTTCGCACAAGCCACATTTTTTCTTTTTTTTCCCCTCAATTTATTAGATCCACCAAATAAACAGTAACTTTGCATCCAAATATGAAGCGCAACTTATTTTCACCTAAAAAAACAAGCACGCACAAAGGTGTGTATACATGCTGTAAATCACAGTGTTTATGACATCACAAAATCTTTGAGGATAAGCAGTTTCTGTACATTTTGGAAAGGCTGTTTACAGACTACATCACACTCTTATCTAAAAAATTAAAAGAATAAATAAATAAATTAAGTAAGGAGTGTTGAGTTTTCCGTGGTACGGGCTCTTTAAGGTCAGTTCCTCAGTATGTGCAGACGTGTATTGGCCTCCCAGTGCCTGAGGGCGAGGTGTGGACAGGCAAGGACAGCAAGTTTGGGTCAGGCTGAGCCTTTGAAGTCCCCCCCCACCATACCCCCCCACCCCCTGAGCCCTGCAGGTGTGAGAGGAGGTCACTAACACAGCATTTCAAACACAGACACGTTTTGGGGAGAAGATCGTCCTGACAAGAGCAAACAGATGTCTGCCAGCCGCCTCCTGCACAGCAACAAAACCCCTCTGATCTGCGCCGGGACGCGTGTGCTGACCTGCTGAATGCTCTCAGACGGAGCCGTGCCCACAGGGTAAACCCCCCCGTTACCGCCCCCCCCGCACATTCCACTCTGATAAAACCCAGCATTAAAGTTTATACAGATAGAGCTCAGATTAAACACCGAGCCGAACCGCCAACTACCAGCTTATTTATTATTCTAACACTAAATTACTGTCTGACATCTGTGTACAGAACCAGGACCCGTTACAGTTCATGTTTGGCTTCATGGCTGCCAGTCTGGTCTGTTTCTGGACACTGCAGACCCTCTTCACGCTCCAGTAATGATAATAATAACAGTAATAACAGTAATTCATGTATAATTGACATACATAACTTGCGGTTCAAAGTCGTGTGCAAATGTTTCCAACAGATTCGATGCTGTTGCTGAGTGTAACTAAGTGAACACATCCTCTAAAGTGAACACACTTCTGCACAATTTAATACACAATTACTGTTTATTTACTCAAGTTAACATGCTAGAAAAAAACACAGAAAATGTGGTTTGTGCAAAAGTATAATTATTTTATTTTGGGGATTTTTTCCAATTTTCTTCCCAATTTAGTCGTCTCCAATTCCACCCACTAGTTCTGACCCCACTCACACGATACCCCCAGCTCTAGGAGGGTGAAGGTGAACACAGGCTTCCTCTGAGTTCTGTGAAGGTCCACTGCATCTTTTTAAACTGCAGCTAAAGCAGCATCACTGTACAGCTGAACGCTCTCAGAGGAGACGCCCACCACCAGATCTGTTACGTCAGACTGACTAGCATCGCACTGAGTGATGGGGCGGGGGGCATCCTGCCCACCCAGACAGAGTGAGGACAACTGTGCTCTCTCAGACTCCCGGACACAATCCCCTGATGATAGGCCCAACACTTAGACCTGGCCTGTCAAACTGGGGACCTTGGGGGCCAAAGTGCTGTGGAGATCAGCGTTTACCCTCATCTGACACTCTGAATTCAGCTCAAGGTCTTGCTAATTAGCTGATGAGCTGAATCAGGTGTGTTTAATGAGGCAGTGAGCTGAAGTCTGCAGAGTTTTGGCCTGCAAGCACTGGAGCCTGACACGGCTGCACTTTCAAACAGACATTTTGCAGTAACATTTACCTCATTTAAGTTCAGTGCAACTTATTTTCCCTCAGAAATTCAGCAAAACAGAATTAGTCATTTGAACCAGGGTCAGTTATTTGCCCCACAGTGTGATTCGCACTGTAACCTAGCAACGGCTTCCATCAACAAAGTGACGGGTTTGCTGACGCAGCATCATCAGTAGGCTTAGAGAAATAAATAATAACGGGTTTGGGGAGCACTGATCCCGAAGCTGCTTCCCATATGTGAACTCGGGGTACAGATCGATACAGATTACTGATCTGACAGCAGCGCTCAGCTGAGGCCACGGCGCCACTTCACAACAAGAAAGCAGAGACTAAGAGGCTAATGTAAAGATACAGTAGAGGCTAATGTAAAGATACAGTAGAGGCTAAAGTAAAGATACAGTACAGACCAACGTAAAGATACAGTAGAGGCTAACGTAAAGATACAGTAGAGAATGTACAGATACAGTAGAGGCTTATGTAGCGCAGTCGAGACGCACCAACATATTTTTTTGGACCGCACAACTTTTGAACCATATCGTTCTAGAAAGCTTACAAAACTGCACTGTTATATTTTTCATGACCACGACTGCGGTAATGAGGTCAGTATTGGCACTGATACAGATTCAGTGCAACACTAAAGCGGTAAGTCAAATATACGGCCGGGCGCTCACTGACGGCTGGTCTAATGATATGGAACTACTTTACTTCACGGAATGTAAACAGATCTTTTTTTTTACAGTAATGAATTCTTGACTGTTAAGGATCACAGGATTTCTGGAGAGCAGCTTTAGGAGGACGACTGCTGTAAAAAACCACATAAAACTGAATCAAACTGAACTGAATCAGACACAGACACATTCCTCACTGCGTTTCAGACACGGCTATCCATCTACGATCTGGAGAGAGAGAGAGAGGGAGGGAGAGAGAGAGAGACAGAGAGAGAGAGAGAGAAAGAGAGAGACAGAGAGAGAGAGAGAGGGAGGGGGAGGGAGAGAGAGAGAGAGAGAGAGAGAGAGAGAGAGAGAGAGAGAGAGAGAGAGAGAGAGAGCAGGAGCTGTATTAGCTCTGACTATTAGTGCTGGCATTCCCTTCTCTAATGTCCTAATATGGCCTGTTGCCTGTGTGTGCTGTATAGAGCAGTACAGTGCTCAATAACAACTGTATAAAACAATATAACTGATGTTTAGTGCTGTATAAAGCAATATGGCTACTATATAGTGCAGTACAAAGCAGTATAACTGCTATATACTGTAGTGTAAAGCGGTATAACTGCAATATAGCGTAGTAAAAAGTGATATAATTGCTATATAGTGTAGTATAATATATTTATATAGTATAAAAGCTGTATAAATCTTTATAGAAGCCGTATAAATTTGCATAACCTGCACAAAAGTGGTATAAATCTGTATTAAACTGCACAAAAGTGGTATAAATCTGCATAGAAGTTGTATAAAGCTGTATATATCTGTACAGAAGCTGTATATCTGTATGTATAAATGTGTATAAAGCTGTATAAACTCGATTGGCGGTGCTGTTGTGTAAATAATGTCACCCAGTTGTTCCCTAAACTGTAATTGTGCAGCTAAACAGCCTGCAGAGCCACTCAGATTAAACAGAGTATACAGTGCAGACAGATAAACCCCAGCAGGACAGGCGCACAGGCGGTCTCAGGGTCAGGGTGGGCTCCTTAAAGTGGAGCTCGCGCATATCAAAGCAGTGAGTCTGACCATAAAGCAGGCGTCTCCCTTTGATCCTGAAACAGGCCTATCAGCACAACTCTAATCCCCTCCGCAGGAACCAGCTGCTCTCGCTGGCTGGAGAGGCCGTTTCCACCAGTCCATCAGCAGGAAGACCACCAAAGATCAGGAAAGGCCTTCAGAGGGGCTGAACCAACCGGCTGCTCCGCTCACTCAGCGCACACTCAGTAAACTACCATCACCACTCACTGTCATTACTGACCAAACAGTTCAGATTCAGCATTATATCAACAGGCCATCGCAATATATTTCATTTTCATAAGACGTTAAGGCAGATTTACTGGTTTATCTGCAGAAAGCTGAATATGAATGTCTGGGTGTGATATATTAGGATATTAGAATCAGTTTATTATTCTGATTTTGGATGATGGACAATATAAACTGAAATGTATAACATACAAATGACCATAAAGATATTATCCACAATTCTGATATCATGATAAACCTAAAACATTATCATTATTAATATTGTCATTAATGTTATATTGATATGGATATTGTGATGAGCCAAATATGAGCTAAACGAATTATTATTATTATTATTGTTGTGGTTACTGTCATCCATACTTTGAATTTGTCATAAGCAAAATAGATTAAAATATTAATATTATATAATATTAATAGATTATTGTAATAATCTCATAATTGTTGTAATAGTAACCATTTACTCAGCAATGTATTAAAACACAGTAAATTCTTTTCATAAATGCATTTACATAATGTAAATTATGTAAATTTAAGTGAATAAATAATAAAATATATCTTCATAAATACCTTATGAAGTTGCATTTTTACAGTTGGGGTCCACTTATGAATTATTACAGTTTAAAAAATATATTAACTAATTAATAATGACCAACTAAGCACTTACACATCACACAGTAGCGAGACTGTAAATAACTACTGTATCATTTTTAAACAGGATACAAATGATTATTCATATATCACTAAACACATGGCTAATAATTCAAATTAAACTTTTTTATTATTTTATTTTTATTATATATAACTATTATATAATTAGTATAATTAGTATCAGTGATTAACAAACTATTTGATATTGATTATGTTGCTGTTTATTAGGACCTGTTATTATAAAGTGGAACTGATAATATTCTTCTTCCTCTTCATCTTCTTCTTATTATTAATATTATTTGTAACTATTATATAATTATTAACAGTAATTAATATACTGAGATACTCGTCATATTGCTCTTTATTAGGGTCTGTTATAGTAAAGTGTTACAAATAATACTTTTTATGTATACGTATTATTATTATTATTCCTCTTCTTATTATTATTATTAATAATATTATTTGTAACTATTATATAATTATTAACAGTGCTTAATACACTATTTATTATGTTGCTGTTTATTATGGACTGTTAATTACAATGTGTTACTAATAATACATATTATTATTATCCATACTGTGCTGTTAATATTAATATTATTATTATCATTAATAATAATAATAATAATAATAATAATAATCTCTAGGAGCTGCTGATTTAGAAAAATAAAACAGTTCTAAATGAAGATCCTCTGAGAGTCTGAAAAACTTTTTAAACAGATGTTTGACGTGTTCAATCAGTGTTCACTCTATTCGCTCTCCTGCCCGTCCAGCAGCTGGAGACAACAGGCCGCGCCATCAAAGCCTGTCTGTGGGGGGGGGGTACAGAGCCTGGGGGGAGGGAGTTCAAGAGGAAACCACCCCCCACCCCACAATCAGAGCCACACTGCTGAACGGAACGTGGAAGGAGTGCAGTTTCTCGGCCTCTCCGTCCTCAGAGCAGAGAAAATGAGGGTAATTACCGACTCCGGATTCCACAGCCCGCCAAATACTTCAGCTGCGGTCGCCCTCTCACCAAAACACTCTCTCTGGGGGACAAACCTGGCAGCATCCTCGGCCCACCGCACTCCCTCACTGTACTGGGGCTGATGCTTTAAAGGGCACGTACCACGGAAAGACACATCCTCTTCATCTTTTAAATAAGAGAGTTTGGTGTGGTGTGTTTACACTGTTTAAGATTCAGATAGTCCGAAGAGTCCATATACGGAAAGTAAAAACAACTCGCTTTGAATTCATGTTTGTGAGGTCACAAAACACACACACACACACACACACACACACACACACAACACACACACACACACACACACACACGCGCACGCAAAAGGATCATGGGAAAAGGATCATGAAGAAATTGTTTAGGGCTGTTTGATGTCATATAAAATAAAATACAAGAAAAATGTAGAATATGGGCACTTTAAAGGGACAGCTCATTAAAATATTAAATTTCTTCTTCAGTAATACAAAAAGATAAAAAGTTCAACGATGGACGATAATACGTCAGATCTGTCCATTAGATCAGATCAGAGTGACTTTTATTCTTCCCAGAATAAAATAAACAACTTTTAGAATAAAAAATATCTAAAGTTCTTTATTTTATTGTTTAATATCTGCATTTTATTCACTTTACTGCATTTGTAATGGTACAGAAATAAATGTTATGCATCTCTGCAAAGCTAATACATTTAACATATTAATGTTTACATATCAGCGATATCTGCCCACAATTGTGTGCCAAAACTGATTAATCCAGTATCATCATGCATCCCTACACAATATAGTCACAGTTCATCACAGTGGAGATAAACATCATCATACTGCCCACCCCTTTACTGAAGCCTGAATTTCGTCTGTACATTAGTCCATGTTTGTAGATAACAGTAAGTCACCCAGTATCAGAAACCACATAATCAAGTCTATTAGAGATTACATAAAGGGAAACTAATTTTCCAAAATGTTCTGCTTAATTTCAGTGGTTGAGACATTCAGAGTGGTTTGGTGTGAAATGGTTCAGATGTCTTTACAGTGGTGGTGATAGGAACCAGGGGTCGCCATGACTACAACACAGATATAGACATTTTATTTACTATCCAGAACCACCAGTGAACCTACACGAGTCTTCTGAGTTTATATGGAATGTTGATGATGGAAAATAGTGGAGAATCTGAAATAATAAGTTTTCTTTGGGGACTATTTTGCCTCACAGCACCCTGCATATTATGTATCCCTCCACCATGAATGGATTTAAAATTAGTTTCAGGCCAAAACTATGGGAGCCATAAAGCGCCATGGATTTGTGTGCGTTTTACTCTGTCTTTCTGTGAAAATTAGTTATTTTCATTTGTTTTCTCAAAAATCTTCTGATGCTTATGTCATTATCACGACATAACTGGCACCGTTTATCGTGATAACGTTTGTTATGTCTGTATAATGGCATACATATCTCAAAATCCCAAGAAAACAAATGGAAATATCTCCTTATCATAAAAAACAGCAAGCAAATCTGTGGCCCTTTACAGATGCCGTACAAAATCTTCGTAAGTCAGTGTCTCAGTCATCAGGCAGTGAATTCATAACCATTTCATGTAGGAACTTTCTGTGAAGGAGCTTTTAGAGGTGGACGTCTGGTTCCTATCACCACCACTGTGAACAATTCTGACTTGGTAGATTTCTCTAGAAACCAAACCGCTCTGAACGACGATGTTTACATCTTCAGCTTTTATTATGGAGAAAATTAGAAAGATGGGTGGAATTCCCCTTTAACACCTTAGGGGTGGGACAGTGTAAATCGCCAAACTATCACTTCAATCCAACACAAAGGGAGCACAAAGGCTTCAGTGAATCACAGTAAGCCACAGCACACCTCACTTCAGGAGCGAAAGCATAACAGCCCGATTAGATCATCGGCGCTGTGTTTTCATACGGAGGACAAAAAGAGCTGCATTGTGGGTCTGATTTTCTTTAAAGCAGTAATTAATTTCAGATGAGACACTCTGGCTTCTCCGAAAGGGGGACTATTAGTTTGGAAGCCTTGATGAGACCTGATTTTGCAGTCTGGAACTCTAGATACAAAAATATTAACACTCAGATCACCTGCTCTGAAGAACACAAGAGCATTTCA